GAAAAACTTGGACTTTCGGAACAGTATTTAACATTATAATTTTCATTCATTTTACTCATAGAAATATAATTAGTTTTGATTAGTAAAGTAAACCTCCAATCAAAACGGTGGGAGGATTGTTACGTTTTGAAAAAAGAATCGGATAGGTTTCGGAGAGTTGGGTGAAAGCGTTTTTATTTGTCTCCAAATAACTTTTGACTTATACAATGGAACTCGAGTTTATGTTTTAGAAATATGTTGAAATTTTGTATTTTCTTTTAAGAATTTTTGTTTAATAAAATTTAGGAGTGGAAGAAATGTGTTACAATTCTTGCCGTACTCAACACTTGGCAAGTTCAGTTTTTTTTTCACAAAAGAGAAACATCAATACATGTTCAATAATCCAATTAATTATCAGTACAATTAGTTCATCAATACAATTAATTATTCCGTATATTATTTTTCTCACTCAATATTTTTGGATGTCTTAAGTGCGAGTTAACACGAAATGGCGGGTAATTTTTGGATATGCACGATCATATTGCCTTGACAAGAATACTTAACTACTATGCTTCAGTAATTGACGAGAGAACGAAGCGAGCATGGGTCGCGAAGCAACCCGAAAGAAACTACAATAGACCTGAAAACTTAAATTTTCAGTTAAGCAGCCGCCGGTAGATTTTAATAACTCATTTAATAGCCGCTTTTTGAAAACTTTTTTTTTGGTTTATCAAATTAGATGTTTTCTAAAAAATTTTCTATTAAAAATAATCTACGGCTTGAAGAAAAATATTCGAAAATAAAAATAATATAAATAGGCGACATCATTTAGTTTCAGATACTGACTTTAAAGAATATATAAAAATATTTGGGCTGGCAAATTACATTTTATGTATACATTAACACTTTGAAATCTGTGAATTGTTAAAGAATTCTTCTTCCACATAAATCTTTCCACCCCAAATTGATGGACAATTTAATGAAAACTTCTGCTTCCCAGAGTATTTTTTCTACATTGAGCTATTTTTATCATTAAGCGATTTTAAACAAAAAATTATGAGAAAAATGATCCGTAGTTTATTAAATTTAAATCTCCACTTCTTTGTTCTTGACCCCTCACTTGTTGACTGGTTATTTTCAGATCTAAATCTCCACTTATTTTTGCCAACCTGTCAATTGTCGAGTGGTTTTTTTTAGACTAACTACGAAATTTGTCAGGAGGTTGGTGAGCAATGGCAACGCCTCGTATAGGTAGTCCGATCAGACCACTCTGAAGGATATCAACTTACCGAACGAGTCATTTAATACAGAATATAGTTAAAATAAGAGAGTGGTAGTAAATATATGACTAAAAATTTATTTATTTATGAATATTACTGGTTTGCCTTATTGACTTGTCAACGACTACAGATTAAATTCTCAAATACATATATAAGATAAATTTCTATATATAAGATAAATTTCTATATATAAGATTAAAATACTTTTATAAAAGGTTTTGGGTACATGCGCACAACTGGTTCACTTTTTAAACATTCTGCGCGGACTACTTATAAAAGACCGTGTGGAGGTTTCTTGATGTAGGAGGTGATGGCAATAGCCGGCAGGGTTCGGTGGATTTCCATGATTTGCAGTTAGAATTTTTTTTTAATGTATCACTGCGTGTTTTAGATGGGAATGATTTAGATTATTGAACGTACACCGTAGAACAAAATTTTAATTAATCGATGATCATTAATCTGAGTCCTTTCCAAGTCGCAAATTTTCAGAAATGTTAAAATGCAAAAATCTTAGAAAATGTATTACCTTTTATACATCTGCTAATGCTGTGAGTAGCATTGCCTTTGTAACAAAACCAGAACAGTCCTGCTTCTGAATCATTAGTTACTTCATCGATTTGATACACATACATATTTCTGCTCTTAAACCTGAAATTTAAAAGAGAAAAATATAAATTAACTGAAAAATATGTTCTTCTTTCAGCTCATATCTCTGTTGTCAGGCAATACTCAGATTTTAGAAAATTTCCCTTTTTTCTGTTATTTCATGGAAAGAGAGTTTCTAAAGGAAATGTTAGCAAAAATAAGTTCTATATTTTTTGTAAAATAGCGCTTAGTGGTGGCGTAGCGTATAGTTAAAATAACAAACATATAAGTGGTATAACAAATAGCGTAGCGTATAGCGATATAGTAAAAATAAAAAGAATTTATTTTTTTGGCTGTTGATTTAATATAATTAGATTCATATTGCTGCCGACCAGATGTGTAGTAGTCAGAGAGCTGACCTCACATCAGCTAGGTCCTGGGTTCATACCACGGACAAGGCATGACTGTGGGAGACTAATATGATGCCGGTAAAAGAGTGGCCATGAAACTTGCCCTAAAGATATCCGTATGACGATTATCAGTCTGATGGGAATTGAAATAAAATTCATATTGCTTATGAAACGAATTCAAAGATAACTCCGGCAGTTTAAATCTAATATTTGTGATATTATCTATTTCACCCTATAAGTTTTGTGATTGGATAAAATTGATATTAGTCGTTATTTTTTATAACATAAAGAAGTGGTAAATAAGCTTTAAAATTTTTATCACATTTTAACTTATTATTAATGCCTAGTAACAAAAAGCGGTTTTTATATGAAAAGCACAGACATAAAAAATAGTAGCATTTATTTTGTTCTTTAAATTTCTTTCAATTTTGCTAAATATATCTTAGACCAGTAAGACCACTGCTTGTAAAAGATTTATTTGAAACTTATTGAACCTTCTCATTGTCTTTGAAAACAAAAGGCCACGATTTTTTGGAATCTTTTTTTTCATGAGCACGCATTAAGCAACAAATCGCTCCTGGGTTACAATCTACTAAAAAAAACACGCTTTTTGGACTAAGAACAGGTGTAAATAGAAAAATACGCATTCTTTCAGCAGCAATACTTGCACAACTCATAATTCAACTTGAAGGTAATCTTCGTTTAAGCAAACGAAAGCATTTCTTATGCATTTTGCTTAGCAATGAAAACCCTCTAATCGCAAAAGTTGAGTTTTTGAGTTGTGCCACTATCATCATTTCGCCCATGAGCGAAATGATTAGAATTTTTTGTACATAAGCTGTAGCGGTTCTGTTATCTTTTCCTGCCTGGTACGCATGCTGTACTAGTTATTACCATAAGAAATGTTCTGAAATTATTTGTCTTACGTGAATTTGTAGTCTTTAGATGCTGCCAGCTCCATTACATCATATGCTGTGCAGTTTACGGGTGCCAGTAATGAGATGGTGTGAATCACATCTTTCCTGTCTCCCATATAAAGAGAATATTGAATGCGCATCATTTGACCATCATAGTAGCTCATTTCGGAAGTAAAACTATCTAGAATAATAATTCAAAATATAAGAAAACCATAACGAATCAAAAACTGTACCTACAATATACAGCGACTATGGAGAAAACTTGGAGAGGTGGTTGAGCGTACTGAAATATGTATTTTAGTATAAAAATAGAGGGTCTAAAGTGACCTGTAAAGGTGTGAACACAAAACGTAACAGTGGAGGAAAATTTTGTTTGTTTACAAAATTAACGCTAAGTGCTTATTTGCAGCGATACAGTATTCGCAATGAATGTTCAAAATGCGTTGTAGAAGGGATGGGTAGGAATCGTTAAAACATCAGAACCCTGTTCGTTTCTGCCTACTGCACAACCAGGTAATCACATCTGTAGTTCGCATTACTGTCAGTTGTCGCAATTTTGAATTGAGAATACTGTATTGCTGCAAAGAAGCACTTTTGATATTGTAAATTGATGCATTTTCCCTTCCGTTATCAATTCAATACTTTACTTTAATCTCTATATTCCTAAACAAAAATGCAGGTCTTAAAACTCTCATCCACTCCGCCAAGTTGGCCCCATAATTGTAGAATCAACCGTCATAAATAAAGTCTGATTTTCAAATTCTCCCTATTTCACAAAACTGTCGCTGCAGCAGCTGTTTTGGGTGTTCAATTTTTTTTTAAAAAAAAATTGCTTTCGTGCGTAAAAACTTCTAGACTAAGAAATTCAAAATTAAGAAATCCAAAATTTAAACAAATACCGGTTTTGAAATGTGCTCGTTTCTCTCCAACCTAGCCTTGTTACGTAACAGAACCGGTTGAACTGGCTTTAAATAACAAGATTTAGGCAAATTTTTGTAGAGAAAACAAAACAGTTAATAGGCTCCTTCAATCATCTTAAAAAAAAGAGTATTTTTCTGAATCAGACTTTAACTATAATCACACAGTATATAAAATATTTTATGTACAGTAAACGTTATCCAGATACGTAATTTAAAAACAATTATTAATGATTAATAAAAATTAATTATATAGCTTTGCGGTTTGAAAACTATGACGACGCAGTTTTTAAGATTGCCTAAATGTATTCAAGCAGTATTAAAATCGAAGCGTAAAACGCAGTGAATAAGCTGGGAAAAGTTTCCAACTAAAATGAATATATATATTTACTAAAATGGTTACAAAACTCTACGAATTCTTTTTCTAGAAACTTAACTTTAAGTTTCGTTTATTTAAAATGGTCATCAAATAAGTTTTTAAACATCTACTAAATTTTTTAAATATTATTTTCCTTGTCCAATTTATTTATTTTAAGGAATTGCAACTGTGCCTTTTATGAAAAATGTGTATTTTACTACTTATATTCATATATGGCAACGTTACTTTTAAAAAGTAACGGGTAAAAGTGCAAGTATTTTTAAAAAAAGTAACGAGTAAAAAGTAAAAGTACAAGTACTAAACAAAAAAATTAACGATTTAAAAGAATATTTCTAGGAAGTTGAAAATACAAAGTAACCTAAAATTTTATTGAATAATATTCTTATGTTCTTTAATGTTTTTGCAAAATTGTTGTTATTTATTTAATTATTTTTAATTTTGAAAGTTATGGACATTAATTTATTTTTAAATTCGGAAGAATATTATAATATAATTTTATAATATAATCGTATAATATAATTTTAAAATCAAATATAATTTTAATATCAAACTTTTTATGGATTTGCACGAAAAAGAAATTTTATCTATTGATTTTAATTTTTAGTTTATTATTTTTATTTATTTAAATTACCATTGATTTAAAATTGTTTTACTCTTTAGAAACGTGTTTTAAAAGCACAAACATAAACAAAGCAAACACGGAGTTTCAGATAGCTTTGTGATCGTTGAGCTAGTAAAAAATAATTGAATATGCAGTATACGTTGAAACAGAAGGTATTTAAACACGAAGTTAGCTGTGAATGCATATATATTGCACATTATTTTTATAAATTAAAAAAACCTAAGCATTTTTTTAATTTAATTTTTTTTACTTATTAAAATTTAGATTACTTATTTTCGAATTTTTGATTACGAATAATTACAATTTCCACTTGTCATTCTAAATTCTACAATACGTAACTTAATCATACTTGATCAGAAAAAGCGATTGAATATTAAAAAAAAACTTTATTTTTTTTCTGAAATTTTGATGAATTTATCAAATTTTTAATTTGCTATATATGGTAAATATTTTATGAACATAGAAGTAGATAAATAGAAATAATTTAGAATCTAGTAGTCAAATTATAAGAAATTTAAAATTATTACATAATTATAAGAGATTTAAACTTATTACATAAAGTAGGACAAAATTATTCTTTAGATTACCATATCCTTCCCTTTTTGGATTTAAAGAGCAATTGATTTTGGAAATGTCTGAGAGGCTTTTAGCATTTAGAATGGGCAGGACTAAATAACTTGCGAGAAGGTCATGTGACATTTTAAGTTGCTGCATTAGGTAGTGGATAGTTGCATTGATATTCCAGTCTATTGCATTTTCTTGACCACTTGAAATAAGAGCCTGAAACAGGAAATTAATTCATTATATATGAAGTGCACTATTTTATACACGGTGAATCAAAAATGTGAAATATATTTAATATCCTTATCTATAAATTCAGATTTTTAAGAAAATTCTCGAAAATTTTCCAAAAACTATTCACTGATTTTCGAAGAGGTAATTCAATCCCATACAATGATGGCTCATCTTTATAAGAAAAGTACCTTTTTTGGGAATTGAAAAAAAAAAGAAAATTATAAATTTCACTTCTAACTTTTCAAACAAATATGTATGATTAAAAAATTAAGAACAATTGTTATTTAAAGTCTAATAATGATATTTTATAAAATCAATTTGGATATCCAAAAAACAAATTCTTTCAAAATTGAATAAAAAACAATGGATACCCAACTAAAGTAATTAAATTCTATATAACATCATTCAGTTAATTGCATATTATTATGAATAAATTTACTAAACTTCTTTATTAATTTATATAATTTTTACGATGAGCAAATCCAATTCGGGCAAATCCATGGTTAAAAATATGTGTAAAACAGGCAATTCATGTTTCTTTCTCTCTCTTTCTTTCTTAATTAAAGTTAATTTTAAAAAATCATTGAAATTGTACAATTAAATATCAACCTCATTTATTATAAATTTTAAACAATCCAGTATAATATTACCTTGCGCACATCCATTTCGGGCCCATCCTTTAAAACTAATAAATCAATGCACAGCATAACAAATCACTTCAGCAATGCAGTAAGAAAGGCACTTTAAATTCCTCTAGTTACACTCAATTTGCGGTTTTGTTTTCATATTTCGTGATCTGGCAATCTTATTACGAAAATATTTTAAATCATTCTTGAAAATTGTGCCGTTCATGTAAGTTAATTTGAATTCTCTACTCGCTTTACAAATTTCGTCTTCTGTTTTGATCTGCTTTTTTTTTTTTTTTTTTTTTTTTTTTTTTNAACATTTTTTTTTTTTTTTTTTTTTTGGCATTTTATTTTCTGTTTTTTACGTGATAATACTTACTTAATATGTTCTATTCTATTTTGTTTCAGATATTTTTTTAGTGCTTCTCACACTATTGTATTGATATATTTTGCTTTGGCTATATTGATATATTAGAAAGCACTCATTTTTGCAGATATAATCCTGTGAGTTGATGAAGAGATTATATATTTAATTTTTCGGATTTTTATTAAATTTTTATCAATTTATTTTTATAAATATTTTTCATTATTACGTAATTTTTTGCATGTTTTCTCTACATTTTAAACTTATTTTATGAGTTCTATATACTTGCAGCTTATAGGCAGTAAATAAAACTTAATGATTTTCTTAATTTTCTTCGTTTTCCTCTTCTTTTTTTGTCATTTTTGCATTTATTCATTGTGACTCAGCGATTTTTGACTTCAAGTTATGCATTAATTAACATTTGATAGTATTCCCTTTACTAACAACCATGAGAAAGACTTTTTTTCCCTCGACCTTTTTAACCGACCTATTATAATACATTACATTTCCCTAACTTTTATTGAGGAGCACTTAGATTTTGTGTCAGTTGGATGCAAGCTTTTCATGAATATGGCTTAATAAATAATAATTACTTACAGCCTGGTGCATAAACCTGCGTATTTCCGAACTATTGGCAACGTTCGGACGAGTACGTAAAGGCTGACGAGTTAATTTCCTCTTTTAAATTGTTTTCAAAGAAATGGCGCGGGGAAGTGATTTTAAAATTAAGCGATGGCTTTTATCTCTGATAAAGAAAAAAAAAACCTGAGTTACCCAGTTTTCGCCTACGGACTCATGTTTTTGGATATATTGAAATCTTATATTTTTATGAAATATTTATTTATTTATTATTATCATTATATTATTTAATACTATTATTTAATATTATTACTATATTATTTAATATTTTTATTACATTATTAAATATTATTATTGTTGTAATAAATATATTTCAATATTCTATTTTTTTCGTATTTTAACAGTGAACATTTTAAAATTCTTTGATAGAAGTTAAAATGCTAAATAGTAACGAGCAAAAATGTAAATCACAAAGCAAGTCTGCCAAAAAACACTTCTTTACAGTTTTAATACCCATTAGCAAAATGGGCGTTGCTTTGGGTTTGATGGCAAGCGCACCTTATTTGGACGTCATCACACTTTTCAACTGTATTCAAGAGTAATAGTAAAACAGTGCGCATGCGTCGTCATTGGATGCGTTGCTATGGTTTGCTGTTGTTTGATCATTTTTTTAAGAATTCTTTTTTTCACTTTTAATTTTGTAATGTATTAAGTTGAAGAGTTTATATTTGAGGTATGGGACCAGTGAGATCCCATAAATACTTCTTGAGTTGTGAATAAAATAGAATTTCATCATAAATAAAGATTGAGAAAAAAAAATTAGACAACAACCATTTGGCAATGGATAACCTGTAGTCACCTTTCGCGATCACAATTTAAAAAAAAAAAAATTATTTTGAAAATTAAAGAAATTCCAATGATGAACTGTTTCTGCAAATAAGCTAAATAACTGCAAATTAGCGCAAATTACTTTTAACGCAGGTAGGAAGCTGTGCCGCGATTGCAAGACTTTACCTTTAACGCAGAAAAAGACACACACATTATTATTTTTTTATTTCTTGTTAAATTACATTAAAACTCGAGATCAATTTAGTCGAACTCTCGAGTCAGAAGAACTCTGAAGATCAATTTTTAACCAAGTTTTCCTTCCTAAATGCATTTATTATTTTATTAGTTCCGATCGATATAATTTTCATTTATCTATATATGATTGTATACATGATAAAATACATATATCTGCCCTCATAATTTAAATAAATATCTTCTAACCTGAGTTATTAAAGATGTTGTATGAAAATTCCCGAAACTGCCATCTGCAAGCTGCATTTTCTTGAAACGTTGTAATGTATTTTCATACTTAGTTTTTATATTTGCGTTCTTACTATGACTGAAAAACATTCTTTGACTTTCATAGCAAGACAAAGCCATCACAGCAATTGCTTGATAATCTGAAAAAATATAATTGATTATTTTTTAAAACATCAAATGTTATATTTTAAAACATGGTCCGAAAATGTAAACGAATAAGTCAAAAAAAAAGATCTAATTAGGCTTTCTAATACTAATATTTATTAAGTGGAAATTCTAGATTAATACAAATCTATGCCAATGAGTAAAAAATGAATATTTCATGCATTCTAATGATTCTTAGAAGGAGTTAATTTAATTTATACTATAGAAGCAGTGTAAGGAATAATTTCAGGTTATGTGCTTTAAATTTTTAATTTTTGCACATCATTTTGTCTTAGACATGGCTTTGGAAAACGAACGAAGTCACAATAGAGAAAAATGGCGCTGTTGATCAAGTTAAAATTCAACTCCTTAACCATTGAAAAATCAATGCAAGCGACTAAGTCAAGAATGAGATTTTTATATATTTGGCTTTTTTCGATGATAAATAACGCATCTTAAAAAATTGTTCTTTCCAAAATAAATTTCGATAAGCTTTCTGAAATTCTTATATAGCGTTGGTAGTATTAGAAAATAAAATAAGAAAAAAGTTGTCAAGCCGTTTTTCTCAAAATATATCTTAAATACTTATGTTTAAAATATGGAAAAAAATTAGCATTCTAAATGTTAACACTTTCAGACGTGACAGAACATGATGCAGAGGTAGAAGCAGAGCTGTCTGAATAAATAGAAAATATTAAGCTAATCTATAGAGCAATGATGGCACTAACGGAACTAAAGAAGTTAATACTCAATAGTAATAGAAGAATAAATCTTACCAGCCTTTACAAACAACCCAGAAATGTTCTTACAGAACTACAGCTTTAAGACAGTTTTAAGACTATTTTTGTCAGAAATAATAACGCAAAAAATATTGAGACTTAAGGCCTGTTTAGACGATCCAATTTCTTGGACAGAGATTGATTGATATTGATGGAAACTTCTTTTGCTTTGATCGTGTAAACAATCATCCAAGTACTTGGTCCAACTTCTTGGACGATAGTAGAGCATGTTCTACTTTCCATCTAAGTTTTTTCTCCCTTAACCAATCAGCGTCTTAGGTTTTGTGGCGTTAACAAGCAGGCAGCAAATTATGTCATTTTGTTGTCTGTTTTCATATATTTTAGTCCAAACAAATTGATCTGTTGCGGTTTATTTGTGTTATTATTTTATTTGAATTTATTTAGTAATTTTAAACTTATGTAAATATTATTTTATAATGTTGAATATGAACAATGCGCATGCGCAAGTTTTTCTTTCGACGAATCAGTAACATTCAAGAACTTGGATGTTGTCGACGAATCATCCAATTTCTTGGACAGAGAAATCCGACCAATTTCTCGGATTCAAGAAATTGGACCGTGTAAACAGGCCTTTAACCCAAAAAATACTTATGTTGCTAACGCAAAACTACTACTAACGCAAAAATGATATGTTGACGTTTGAGCGGATCTTAGATATTTACGCTTTGCTAGTTTCAAATCTGCAATCGATTTCTTTCCACCAGCTACAATTTCTTCGTAATATAATATTACATATTGTAGACACTTCTCTGGTACGTAAGGAGTTATAGGAAAAATCGATAGGGGTTTTCGTTTTATGACGCGTTACGTTATTAAAGTCATGTATTCTTAACAATTTCTTAAAATTTTATGGAACATATAATTTTTTTATTATTAATATTTACTAATAACTTGTTATATAACTGTAAATAATATAAAAAATATTAAATTAATTTTAAACAAATTTCTTTACACATTATTTATTATTTTAGAATCCAGTCATTTTGACTGCTTTTGGGCAATATAGATATATACTAAGTTTCAGTCTGTCTAGTGTTAATATCGAGATTATCAAAGAATAATGTTAAGGAATGGGATTCTAACTTTTCTACATCGCTCAATATAATCTACAGACATTGGTAAATATAATTTCTTCACTGTTTTAATCATACGTACCTAATTCAGTTTAGCTTTAAGGTAAGGCTTAGGTAAGGTTTTAGACTTTTCCCAGTTTTACAGGTATCAGTTAGATAAATGAGTCAATGTCCTCTACAGGCAGAATGCTTAGTAAAAGAAAATTTGTAGGTGTAAAAATATAAATAACCCGCAATAAAATCACCGATTCGACTTTCGGAAATATTGTAAGAAAAGGATTAAGATTCTTTGGAAATTACCTTTAAAAAATTCGTAGAAAGAATTATTGATGCTTAGAATTTTATCCATGTCTTGTTCAGCATTAAGTGTCCAGGACTGATTTGCATTGCAAAGGCTTAAATAAGTTATGGGGTGGGTAAAGTTGTTTGACGATTCGATTTCTTCCTTGAGGAGTTCTATCAAATTTTGTCCAAAAAAGTGACGAGGATTGTGACAAGTTATCAATAAACCATTAATAAGCATGCTTAGAAACTCGCTTGATAAGGAATTTCTGTAAAATAATTTTATAATAGAATTAATAAAAAGTATAATAAAAATAAAATATATATCTATTATATAAAATGCACGTAAAATATCGATACATTTATAAAAAATAGATTTAGATAATTGGTATGGTAAAAAATTAAAATTGTCATTAAATGCAAATCTTTCTACATTGCTTTTGTACAATATATTTTTCTGTATAAATTCTAAAATACATAATACGAGTTAATGTTTTGGCAGACTAGTGTAAACTTAATAGTTAACGCTTTTTAATGACGAAAGGTTTTATAAGACACAAAACAAAAAAAAGCACGTGACTGCAAGCTTACTAAAAAAATACTACTAAGGGATTCGAAATCCATACATAGATTCTAGTCTAGATAAAAAAAATTATTCTATAAATTACTTGTTCTATAAATTATTTAATCTTTAATTTTTTTTTTATTTTAAAGTAGAAAACTACTAATAAGCTATTAAGTTTACATTTATACAAATCATAATATATGAAAAGAAAGTGACGCAATTGTAATAAAACTCCATAAACCAAAAAAAACAACACTTTATTTAAATTTTATTTAGAAAGAGAAATACAATAATTATTAATTTTTTCAAAAATTTTATTATAGTTCAAGTTCGTTTTCTCTTATTAATATTTGGAAACATGACTGAGCTTATTAAATATGCTTTAACTACTATTTTAAAATATCAAAGAAAATCTGAGGAAAATATTAAGACTTCAAAAAAATATCTGAATTTTCGATCCCAAATACTGCAAAATCAAAGTTTTTTCTGAAATTTTTTACAGAGAAGATCTATTGTTTTAAGACACAAGGGGGTGAATACATGGTCAATATCTTTGGAGAGTTTAACCTTTACTTCAGGTAACCTAAGATTTGAAAAATTCGGTTGTAAAATTTCCGTTTTACGATACCTTGCACATTCTCAGTTTTTTCTTAGTTTCACACTCGAAGATTATTTATTACGAAAAGAAATTTTACTTTAGACAATTCATTGTGGCCTGAGACGCTCTACAAATTGAATCCTTATTTCATATGCAGTTCTTATTTATATTTACAAAAAAAAATTGCCCTAAGAAATTCGATTCTGGAGAAAAAAAAATCTTTTATTTGTACTAGATGACTAAAACTAATGAAGAGTAGATATTAAGTTCGCTACTTCAATAGGAACATTTGAATATTTCTAAAAGTACAATTAGCAATTAGAATCAAAGAAAATGAATTGATACTTCGATATGGCAACAGATGTTATGAGTTTTGCTTGTTTTTCCATCAGTTCTTCATCAAGGTATGTACCATCAAATCTGCCATATCCCGCTAGGTATAGTGCAGAGATCATTCTGGGTGTGTTCTCTTGCCAGCCCCATGAAGAAGTGCGTTTACTTTTTATCCATGTGACCTCCTTATCAAGTGCCTCAGCAACCCCTTGTACGGTGCGTATGCCTGTTTTCAAAATAAATAAAAGCAAACATTAAACGAAAATGCTAATTATAAATATCATGACTGCATATTGAACGCTTCTGAGGACTTTCCGCGATAGTGATAAAATATTTTTCAAAAAATGATAAAATAGGAAGAATGATAAATATTTTCCCCCGGTACTCAGTTAAGCTAGGAAACTTTCAGAAAATGAATCCACAAAACATTAGCAGAGGATTAAAAAAAAAATAATAATAAAAACATTACAACTTTTGTGGTATTTACCATTAAACTACTTATTTTTCCCTAATTTTCAGAGAAGATTTTTTTTTGTAAATATCCCACCGTAAAACAAACGACATAAATTTGAGTTTACGACTACCAATGTCCAACTCCGTAGCCTTGTAATTTTGAGTCCGAAAACAAAGAAACTCCTTTTTTTTTAATCTGCCTTCGTGGACGACTTTTTATGGAACAAACCCGCATTTGCATAACATGGAGAGGAAAACCTCCTACGGCAAAGGGTCTTGAACCCATGAATCGTCTACCAATGGGGATATTCTACGTCAGCACTGTGGTTAGCGTGAGGCTGGTGTGGAATTAATATCGACCAATCATCGCTGGGATTCAAACCCTGTTTATTTCATTGGTAGGCGAACGATCTATCCCTTGAGTCACCACGGCTCAGAAAACAATATTATTATACGTATTACAATCGTAGTGGAACCGCCGACCCAATTTTTTGGGCTCACAACTACTAGTGTTCAACTCCGTAGCCTTGTAATTTTGAACCCAATCCAGAAGGCAAGGGAAGTTTTGTTAAAGTATTGGGAGAAACTTCCCTTTGTGCAGAACTTTTTTGATGGAAACCAACATTTGATTTGCATGGAGAGGAAAACCTCCCGCTGTTAGTCTGACGGGAAGGGCAGTCTAACCCAGGATCCGTCAACCAATGAGGATATTTTAAGTCAGCACTGAGGTCATTCCAAGCCGGATGCGGAATTCGTATGGAGCAGCCGATGCTGGGATTCGAACCCGGTTTACCTCATTAGAAGGCCATCACGGTTCTCTGAGAACAATAAAAGAGTTTCCACTCCAATGCGAAAAAAAGGACACACTATTTTTATCAAAGCGAGGAAAAGTGCGACGCTTTTTTCCGCCTAAATGTATACAAAACCCTATTGTGGTAACAATCTTAACTACTAAATTTGCTACAAACCAAAATTTCAGCATTTTATATACTATAATATGTATGGTTAAGCCTTAATTGCGCCCAGATGAAAATACAAAAAAGTACCTGCTTAGGAAGCTACTTTCAGGCACTGCTGTTTTATTATTTTTTTTAAACTTATTATTCTATTCTTGTCCGAACTGATCGTAAAGACACACTGAAGTCAAGCATCACTTGCTGCGGTCAGTAAACGAGTAGGTGACCACTTTGGTCAGCTTACATAGTAAAAGAGGGTGTGCGATATCTGTCTATTTAAAAAGAAGCAGAAAAGTGCTTATGTATGCTTATAAGCATATACATTCTTTATAAACTTGTGCACTCAGACAGAAAATAAACTGAAAATATCCTTTCGGAAAAAACCTGAAACTTTCTACAGAAAAATAATAACTTCAGATTTAAAAACTGCACACCCGAATAAGGTAAGATCAAATACTTTGTATAAATGCAACAAAGAATAAATTACCGAATGTAATAATTAAACCATAAGAAATTAATTAGAACTGGAAATAAGTGAATTAATGGTATAAAAGTTTGCAAACCTTTATAAGGACAGGAAAAGTTATTATTATTTCAAAATTATTGTAGTGATTGTGGGGAACGTTAATTACAGTCGAAATGAAAATATTTTTTATCAGGTGTATGCAAATTAAATAGTAAGTAGTGGAGGAATGCATTTGCCGATAAATATTTTTAAAAACCATGAATCAAGACATTTTTAAACATCAGCTAAATAATGTCCGCAACTATATAAAGACTAATTTTAAACGATAGAATAGTTTATACACTTAATCAAATATTGTATCTTCTAAACAAAATCTTGGACCTTCTAACAAAGGTTCTTTTAACGTAATTTTCCCCACTTACGAATGATAACAAAGTATTGAATCAAGCATTCGGTTAGAAATTTCAGTTCTTTTTTTTTCGTAATAAAATTATTGCATGGTTTTTTAAACAAAATTTAAATAGAAAAAGAAATTATGAAGATGCTAAAACTGTAGTTGTATTCTTACCACATCCAAGTTCATCAGCTCCGTCTTCACAATCTCTCATCCCGTCACATACGTCAGACTTACGAATACAAAAATCTCCAGAGCAATGGAAACTGTCACCATAGACACAATCGATATATTCTTCAAAAATATATATAATTAGGTATTTATAATATATATATGAAAATGTATTTCTTACATGGAAAAAAATTATAACGCAAGAAAGCCTTACTGTGCGACAGCAATCAGTCACAAAGAAATTGAAAAATTAAGATATTAGTAACTAGTTTATGATTCAGTTTGGTTTCACATTTAAGCTATTGTTGTTGTTGTAGTAATCCATTAAGGCAAGGGGTGCGATTGTTCTTGCTTTCCAGTAGCGTCATATATGGCCAAGAGTTGGACTTCTGCCACTCCCATACGTCACACCCAATTATAGGGCAGACCCATTCATACATTCATTCCTTAATCCACAAATCGTAATTTTGACCTGAACCAGAGAACTATCAATCTCCAATTCAGTACTCCCACAGGTATAATTTGTTATGGGAATATGGAGGACTTTGTGACCACAGACAGAGTTAACGTGTATCAGTCACCATTGACAACACGGGGAGTCTTCGGTCGGCTATATTCGAAATCCCGTGATCTCGAACGCTTGTCCAGCGTTCTGCCAACCTGACATTTCCTGCCATTTAAGCTATTACATAAACTATTATAAAATCATGGCAGAAGACTAGATAAAACTAATCCAAAATTAACTACTAGATTAGATGAATATATTACAGCTTCTATTGTTGGATATTCATTACAAACAAAACAATATTGCTTCATTCTTTTATTTAAATTTTTTTTCACGGAACATGAAAATATTGAAAATCAGCTTATAATTATAACCGCCTTTCAGAAAACTCAACACACAATGAATGTTTTGAGATAAATGATTATATCATAAAATTATATTTAAAAATAAACGAAGCACAAAAAAGTACTGGAAAAAGAGCCCCTTTTATAAAATCAGAAATATGTTACAGTTACATATTTATAACGGTTATAAAATATACAGTTACATTTTATAACCGTCGCTTAACAGTCGACCCAATTTAGCGTTTACGACTACTGATGTTCAATTCCGCAGCCTTGTAATTTTGAACCTAATCCAGACGACAAGGTGACTCCTAGATCAAGCATTGGGAGTAACTTTATGTCAGCACTGTGGTCGGTGCAAGCCGTATGCGGAATTCATATCAGCCAGTCGTCGCGGGGATTCGAAACCGGGGTCACCTCATCTCATTGGAAGGGGAACGCTCTATCCCCTGAGCCATCACGGCGCTAGCAACTATTATATTTTATTTTTAAACCGTCGTTGAACAGCTGACCCAATTTTTAGGTTTACGTCTACTAATGTGCAACTCCATAGCCCTGTAATTTTGAACCCAATCCAGAAGACAAGGGAATTCCTGGATTAAGTATTGGGAGAAATTTGCCTTCGTGGAGGACTTTTTGTTGGAACTGACCCACATTTGTTTTAAATGGAGAGGAAGACCTCGAGAACCTCCCATTACTCTCGTAGAAACGAAACATAATTTTTAATTTAATGGATTCCAAGGGGTTATCTGTATAGGAATAAATTCTTTTTATTTATTTTTTACTTATTTCTTTAAACGATAAATATGTCTATCGAATTTGTTCAACAAATTAATTTATTATTAAAAATTCCGAAAATAAAACAAAATTTCTAAGGATATAGCAGTTTTAAAATTGACATAAATTGAAACTCCTTTTTTATGCAAATTTTGAAATTTTTCAATGATCACAATGTCAATGAATTTTGCAACATTTTCATGCATATTAAAGTTTTATGCATTTAAATTAAAATTTAATACATTTTAAATTTAAAAAATTATATCTTTTCCTTACTTATTACTCAACGCACTTGAACTTTCACTCGTTATATTTTTAAAGTCATGTTCCCATGTATTGGTATAACATGCGTGAATACTGCACAGTCAATTGAATAGTTTTGCGCTCTAATAAATAAGTTAAAACAAGAAACGAACATGTTATTTAAAGTATGATCCAAAAGAGCTAATTTCTTCCCAAGTCTACATAAAAATGACGTCAGATGTTATAAAATGCTTACTCTGTGGGAAATGTAAAATGAAACTCGCGTTATACCCATTTGGAAAACTACTAGCCCATACTGTAAAATCAATCTGGAGACTAGTCGCTGTTACTTTAACCTCTTCCAAAACTGAGCCAGACCAGTAAGTTAAATACCTTATCCACTGCTCATCTTCAAATTTTAAAGTAAGGTTACCTTCGGAAGGAAGCTAAAAAAAATATTTTGTTTTGTAATTTTTCACAAGCCACTAAACTTTTTTCATTTATTTATCGAATGGCTATTCTATTACCGTAAAAATCACTTACCTTGTCCATTAGATTGAATTCCTCAAGTTGAATGTAAAACTGATTATTTGAAGGATTTTTTATTGTCCAGCATTTATGATATACTCCCCTTCCTTGCACTATGTAAATATCCGAAATAGCTGCACCCATCGATTTTTCCAAACAGCCATAGCTCAAATCTAAATTGAATAGCGTTTTTATTTACAGAAGCATTATAGAAATTTAATAATTCAAGTAGTAAAAGCGGCG